TAGATTCACAGACAGTATTGACCTCATAGAACTGACTAAGTAGCATCTACAGGAAATAACTGATGAGAGGCTGGGAAAGCAGAAAATACAGATTAACAATCAACAATAAGATGTCTAGAAGTGGTACCTTAGGAGACAAGCATCCAAACAGGGGAATTGTAATAATGATATATAAAAAAAAAAAAAAGACTTAGATTCCCCAGTATTGCATTCAGGAAAAAAAAACTGAAAGATGAGGAAGGCTGAATCCTATTTTACTTTACACATCCAAACAGCAGTTACTCCACATGCAGTATGGATGCATAAGCATACACACAGATACCACATGCTCAGTAAGTCATGCTCCGACCAGGCAGGTACACAGCTCTGTATACACATACCTGGGCAATCATAAATCACAAAACCATAATCCATGATTAGCAGGTGTAAGACATGGGTGGAGGAGGGCCCTCCCATATTTTAGACCCAAACACTAATGGTTAGGGCACTTGCCTAGGAAGTGGAAAACATAGGTTCTAGGTCACTCTCACTTTCCTCCCTCTTCTGCTCCCACCAAGGGAATAAAAGGTAAAATATGTGCACCTGCTCCTCACATCCCTTTGACTTCCCAGCACAATACTCTAATCCCCTGAGCAGCCAAGAGAGGGAGCTATGCGGGACCAGGAGGAACAGAACAAGCTAGAGAGTATATGGCTCAATGAAATGGACTCTATTAGTTCTAGGGGGTTCTAGCTTTGGAGCATTGCTTCCAATGAAGCAAAAATTTCCCCATCCATTTTATCCAATTAATATCAAATGCAAGTTTTACAGGATCAGCTTCAAAAGGAGGGCAGGAGAACAGACTGGATAACACTTGGTGGTTAGGACACTGGACTGGAAAGCTGAAGAGATGCAGGTTCAAACCCCTTCCATGTGACAGGAACCTAGAAACCGGGTATCTCTCTTCTTGGGCAAGTTCTGTAAGTACTAAGCTATTGGGCTAAAACTTGGGGGGGCCCTCCTCCTGGTTTTTGCCAGGCTACTATTTTGGGACTCCAAGTAAGATATGTGTGTACATTCACATAACTATGTGGCCAGAGGGCAGCCTACTGCGCATGCTCAATTGTTGTGTGGCAACTCATACATCCAAGCCTCATGTCTGGTAGGATCACATACTGTTAAGTGCTATGAATGGCAGATATGTGGCTGTGTAAGTGCCATCTGGGTGTGCCCAGTGAAACAGGATTCTGCGCTTGGAGGCTGAGTGCTATGTTGCTTGATTCAGGGGGCATCTATTCTGTTTACATCCCCGTGCCAGTTTCCTCCTGCTTGTAATGAATTCACCTTAGCCATTAGGCATAATGAAGCAGCCAGAAGCAATGCTTTATCTTTCAACAGTCTATAGCTATGTGCCTAAATAAGGACTTTCTCTACCTGTGCTGACATAATATCCCTATACACTTATTAGTTCTTTGGCACCAGCTACTTTAGGTGCGTTCACTGATGCTAATGGGCACCACACGGGCGGAATCCAATTCCTAATACAGTCAGATCTAGGTCTTTTGAGGAGTCTTAAAAAGAAAATGTAGGTTTGGTTGTTTTAAATATACTGGTATGCTGGAGGCATTGCCAAAGGCTCATTCAGGAGCCTGGAAAAAGCAATTTGTTCCATGATCATAGTAGTCTCTTGCGAGCACTTTGCTGCATGGCACTGCCACAAAAGGTCAATATGCCCTCATGGCAGACAAAGGAAGGCTGCTGCCATTTAGTACAGAAGTATTTGAACAGATCTTTGTGGAAAGCTTGTACGCTGCTAGCTCAGACTGTGACTGGCCATGACTAGTGCTCTTAATTTAAAATGCATTCCTTCAATCTCAGCATGTACAGAGCAGCATCTTATAACTAAGAGGAAGTCACCTCCAGGTTAGCTCTGTCATATTTCTAAGGAATACAAATATAGACCCAAGCAACAACTAAAAAACCGCTGTGCTGGACACACAAGCCATAATGCCATTTTTAAGCATCTAATGTCACCAGCATCAGCACGCTGCCAGATACGTGCAAAGAGGGGAAACTGATAGGCTCGCTATGTCAGAAATGAGCTCTTCATCTCAGATAACAAAGCACATGGCTGCACAATATAATTCAGCATGCATGTCATGTGTAATGAAAGATATGCAAGCGTATCTCTACAATCTTTTGCTTCTCTAGCCACCAACCTATCCCTAGATGTTATACTTACTGAGTTGAGAAGTGGACACCTGATAGTATCACTTGGTCCTCTCTAGTAAGCCAAAAATGTCACATAGCATATTAACAGATTATGGCTAGAGTACAGTATTTAAAAGCTTGCACAGGGCCCTCTTCTGTGCTTCCCTGCCAGTGAGACTAAAAAAAAGCTCCATTTCTGCCTTGATTTCACCAACACAGTGCATTGGGAGCCTGAGTGGGATGCACCAACAGTTCCTTTTTCTGACCTGACAGTGAAGTCTGGAGAATATTACCTGAGGAAACAAAACCATGTTCTTCTGATGACCTAGTATAGGGAGGTTCTTCACTGGCTAGCAACCAGTAAGTTTTGACTCTTTACAGGGCTGTGTATATATTTATGCTATTACATTCTTAAAGCATTCTTAAATATTCGAAAAGTATTTCTTCTTTGTTCCCATCTGGGAAAATATGCTTGACCATGTTCCTAGAGCAGTTTGCTGAACAGTGTGCCAAGCAATTAAGGGAGAACATGAGGCAAATATTTTTTTCTCTTTAAAGATAAGGAAGTTACTTACTTACCAGTAGCCATAGTTTTTCAAGATGTGTCATCCACAAATGCACTCTCACATGTAGGTGAGTTCAGCTCCTAAGCCATTTGACTGGAGCAATTTCTTACCCTAGCAGTACCTGTACAGATGCTGTGGTCTCTCCCCCATTGCCCCTTCTATCTAGGGGATAAAAGGTGGAACAAGTGCCCCTGCTCCTTAATCTCCTCTCAACTTCAGAATCCTCAAAACAGGCCAACTGAGAGACAGGTGAAGAAGGACAGGGTTAAATGTGTGTAAATGTGGACAACATACCTGAATACATTTTCATTTACTGGTCAGTAACTTCCTTTTCTCCTCCATGCACTTATCTACAGCCACATACTCACATATGGGTGATTCCAAAGCAATCCTCATAATATCTTGAGGTGGGACTCAGGGGTCCCCTTAGGCAAAGATTCGCTGAGGAACTGTTTTACCCAATCATATAATGCTTACCAAGAATATGAGCTGAACTTCACCTTGCTGATCTGTAAATATCTGACACAGTGGTCCTGTGGAAGGGGGTAGCAGACGCAGCCTGAGCCTCCATGGCATAAGCCTGAATTACACCTTTGCCATTTTATAATAGATGCTGATAAAACTGGAAACCCAGCTGGAGAATCTAATCATTGAGAGAAGATTAAGGACCCTTTGGATTTTCAGCAATGGCCATTAATGCATGGGGACCTTCCTAAGAGTTTGGTTGTGTGTAGATAATATGCTAAATCTTTCTTTGCATCCAACATGTGAGAGGTGGCCACACATTTTGAATTTTGTGGCTTTGGGTAAAAGACTGGTAATAGATTTTCTGGCCAATGTGAAACTTGGTTGTTTTGAAGTTCCATGTTGGCTAGGCTTGATGGAGCTACAGTTTTGCAAAGGAGAAGTCCTTCTTGCCAAGCAGGTGCAAGCATCTAAGCTCCTTCCTCCTTGGCATTGACCTGGTGTGTTCTGATGACAGGGCTGAGAAAAAGTAGAGAAACTCTGCACTCTTCAGTTGAACTCTGTATTTCTTGTCAACATATTTGTTTACTGGAAAAGCTGATGTGACAGACTTTCAAATAATGTGGTTTGGCTGTAGAAAAGCTTCTTCAATCAGAAATGTTATTTTTGAAGGACCAGATTGGTGCAAAATGTCTCTCGGTGAATACACTAGTGTTTCAGTAACTCCTTTTGGGAAAGGTTGAGATCCTGTGCCACTTGCCTGGGAGGTCCAGGAAACCTCTAGGTCTTTCTGCCATAGAAGTGAAAAGACTCAGGGTGCTAGGGCAGGTAGCCCCTCTCTTGTTTTCTCTAATTGCAAGAAAAGGCTTGGGATTAAAGGGCACCCCATGAAATGGGAAGTGGAAGGAGCTGACATATCCTTAGAGGACAAGGTCAATGTGAATTTTAATGACTGCAATTCTGGGTCTGATTTGTGAGTAGATGTGCGCCCCAATGCCACATGGGCCAAGGGGATATGAGGGCCAAATATGGAATGCACTTAGTGGAGACTAGCACCATGGTGGGAGGCATACTTTTAGCAACTGGACCAGCAGGACCAGGGTAAGATTACCTTTGGTGCTAGAGCAAGTTGTAGAGGGTGTTGTACTGAGGGCAATTCAGACAGACCTAGTGGCAAGGTAGGGTTGGGTGCCACTGAGGACAGGAAGTAACTTGGATATCTGGTACTGAACAATGTGGTAATGTGGAGATTAGCCTAACTATAGTAGAAGATCTATGCTATGCATGTGTTAATGACATGCTTGGTGGCACAGTGCTGGCCACTGCTAAAGACAATGATGCCAGTATAGAAGAGGATCTCTTCGCGCTTTTGGCACTGGAGCCTTCTTGGGGTGCCAAGGGACTTAGATCAATGGCACTCATGGGCCAAGGGATCTGATACACTCCACCCTACCAGAGGATCATCATGGGTAACTGACCTCCAGCTCTCACTTCCACCAATAAATAGATGATAACATAACTCATACATACTTCTAGTTGCTGTGATCTCCCGCTGCAGTACACTTATATACAGCTGAAGTGTCAGCTGAGGTGCGGAGCCAAGGAAAGCCTGGATCACAGATGCCCTGCTGAATGCTGATCTGTGTGTAAAAAGTTTGCCCTCTGCCTGTCCCACTTCATTCTCAACTTCTTCTGAATGACCATCTTTAGGCATCTGCCTCTTCTTGGTGATGCTGACATAAGGCTCTTCAACTTTGCCCGCATGAAAGTAAATGTAAAAGACTTCCACACACCTAGAGGGAAATTGACAAAAAGAAGGAAGGAAAAAAATCAGGGATCTCCCAACAATCTTATTAAGCTGCTCCTACTGTTCTAGAGCCATTACTGCTCTAACCCATTCTTAATGATTGTTCACACAGTATTGTGGTCTGGTTTCTGACAGCCAATACATTGCCCAACTTTTGTATATTAAGAGCACTACAAATTTGACTCAGGATGAGCAGTACTTGATCATTAAACAAAGGTCTATGAGAAGAGATTAATAAGTGTGAGGTATGTGTGTGAGGCCATACTTATGGTTACTCAATAAACCAATAGCTTTCCATGGTCCCAGAATGGAAGAAACATTCTGTGGGACTCCTCTGGACTCATGCTTCCTTCCATCCTACTAAACTTTAAGGAAGCCTCTTGCCCTTCACTCATGTTTTTGACTATACAGAATCCTAGCTTTACATTTAAATCCAGGTTCTTGATCATTGGTGTTATACACATAGCATGTGTAACTTGCTAAAATGGGACAAGGCAAACATGCTGATCTCATAGCATCTTTGCTCTGAAGTGAACTGTGCCATTTTATTGGTGAAAACCTCAGGGAAAAGACAAACCCTTATTAGATATGGGCTCACCAATTCACATTGGCTTCCTGAGGTGTCTTGATGCTATCATAATCAAAGTAGTAAGCAATAACAGGAATAATAATAATACTAATAAAGAATCAAAAGCAAGCCAGTGACTGTATAAACAAATACAACTATGTAGACCTAACCTATGTCTTTTCTGTGCATTTGCACAGACTGTTGTTCTGCCCATAATACAACTACTTGTATTAAAATGAAAAAAAAACAGATGCCTGTGTGAGTCTCATGGGCTCTCACAAAAACTGGACAATGACTCTGGGATAGTCAAAGTGAAGACTTGTTCACTTAGGTGAAGACTTTACATTTAGGTATCTCTCAGGATTATGTGTTTCAAGCCACAGAGATACATTTATTCTAAGCCACGCTCCTTCTTTGGTGATGGTGGGTTTTTAAAGTTTTTTACATCTTTAGCATCTCTGCACTGCTTGTTATTCAGCATCCGGTAAAGGTTTCTGGAAGAGAGCTCATAAACCAAACTATAAAATGACACTGGTAAAAAAATTAAACCAAAGAATATCAATTATTTAATTATCTTGAATAGTTTTTTTCCTGATTGGATCAGTATTCCAATTCCACTAAATATAACAGAGGACTATTGTTACTGTGGTTCACTAAGCTCTAGCCATCCCATTTCTATTAAAGCTATGGGGCTTTGTGAGCATTGTGTAACTGAGGCTCTGTCCTCAGGTAAGGATGCATGCTTCCTCTAATCCTTTCAATCCCTTCATCTTTAGCACATAAAAGCATCCAGACAGAAAAAGAAAAGAGAGAAAAAATTAAGAGTAGAGCAGCTCATGAGGCTATTGGAGGATCTCAAACTGGCAAATTGATTTTATGCTGAAAGGACAATCCCAATACATTAAAATCAATCCACTTTTACAGCAATCCCATGCATTTTACACTTTAGCCTAAAATTATTATGGAAACCTAGGTTTCTGTATTGGCATATGAAGTACTTCAGCCAATGTGCAAAAACAGATGTATCTTAGGGATCCAGTTAACAACTACTAAGTGGACACGTCTACACATGACGATACGTGGCCGTAGCAATGCACTATGGCAACATATAGTGTCCATGGGCAAGAACTGTGACACTACAGGTATATTGCCATAGAAATGTGTTCTCTCTGCTCTCTCATTATAGTGTGTTACTATAGTGACATAGCAGCTAAAAATAATTGTGTGTCATGTGCATGGCACAGTACTGGCTGTTATTGCACTGTCATTTAGTACTTCCAAGAGGAAGTAATAAATGACAGCACAGTAACAAATGTGCTGTATGAACATGCGTAGTACTGGGTATAATGCTGCTATGGAACAGTAGTCCCATTAGCTGGATGTTAATAGTCATGTGATTCTTGTCTGGAAGACAGTCGTCCTCATATTGAGGGACTGATGCCGATGACAACAGATTTCCACACAATTAAATGCTTGCTTTCTACCTTTTGCCTTAAAAACAAAAAAGAGAAACCAATGAAATTAATCATTTTTCTATAGAACTTCAGGGGTATCAGGACTTGATCACCAATGTTTTATACAAAAGTTCATTTATATTTCATAGAATCATAGAAAATTAAGGTTGGAAGGGACCTCAGGAGGTCATCAGACTGACTGTAATAAAGAATCCATTATAAACCCTATCAGAGGTTAAGGAACACCCAGGATGGGATTTTCAAAGGCACAAAATATAGGCTTAACTCAACCTTTACTGAGGTTTATAGTACTCCATCTGACTTCAGTGGGAGCACAAGTAATCCTAGGCTGAATAATTTTGAAAACACCACCCCAGATACTGGATACACTATCACACAGTGGTTGTCAACCAGGGGTACATTTACCCCTAGGGGTACTTAAAAAGGTCCTACGGGGTATGCAGACCAAATGTGGCTGATAAATGCTGTGTGCCTGTGCACAGCTACAGAACAGCACGCAGATGGCCAGAAGTGCAGCTGGGTCTGGCTGGTAAGTATGTTGTGAAGGAAGGGGCTGTGGCAGGGGGCAGATTGAGGCCCCAGGTGGGGGGAGGGAGTGGGGCTGGGGCTGCCCAGTGCTGAGCTGACCACATGGGGAGCAGCACAGCCCTTGACACATATCGCCCTTCCAAGTTGCACTGCTACTCCCCTCTGGAGAAGTCCATGCAACCCCACAGGCTTGTCACTGGAATGCAGGGCCATCCCAGGGGGGGGAGCAGGTGTGAACCAGGGTGACCACCTCGGGCCCACACTTTGGGGGGCCCTGCAGAGTGGGGCAGAGCAGTGATGGTGCAAAGCCAGGTGGAGCAGCGACTTCGCGTCTAGCCGCTTGTTACTTACCTCCTCCCCAATGCCACCGCTGGGATCGGCAGTGGCAGCTTCTCTGGGTCCGGGGCCTGTGGGATCAGTGTGGCGGGGCCCCACATGGGCTGATTTGCTCTTGGCCCAGCACCCTGCTGGGGTCAGCTCTGCTGGAATAACTGGCAATTCCCTGGATAAGCCATGACTAACTCACAGATGTACACAGCATTGTTTTGAGGGGAACAGTGTTAGGACATTTTATGTTGCATACTCCACAGATACTTAAAGTAGGACAATGTAGCAGGGGGAGGCACAAATTAGCCCCACAACCTCCCCAAGTGCCACTCTGATTCTCTTCCTCTGCTTGGTTTGCTGCTCTCTTCCTGCCTTATCCATTGCTCTGCTTCCCGTCCTGTGCTGCTCCCTACCCAATCTCCTGCTCTACTTTCTGTCTCTATGCTACCTGTCCCCTCCGTGATCTGCCATGTGCCACATGCAGAGGCTGCCCATACCTTTGTGGCACACATGCTACAGGTTGACCACCCTGGGTGTATTCTGGGACAAAAAGCTTTCTCTCAAGGGAAATACTACATCCGTTTGAGCCTGTGGTGTTGGGAATTTGGATCAAAAGTATGTGTTCCTCACTTAGATTAGAATACTAGCCAAACGCCCATCAAGAATGATGGCGGGGAGGGGTGGGTGGGGATGGGAGCACTGCCCCCACACCCCGCTGCTGTGCTTTCGACCCCGTGCCAACTCCCCTCTTAGCTCTACGTCCAGCCTGGCAGCCAGAGGTGGATGCATGTGCACTGGGGCCCTGGGCAAACACACAATTGGAGGCCCCCTCGCCCCATGATAGCAGGACTATGGTGGGGGGGGCAGGCCCCTTCCCCTCCTGGAGCTGGCAGGAGAGGCTAGGGGGACCCTGCAGGGCTGGGGGTGGAGGGGCACATGCCTGCCTCTTCTCCCTCCCCCCCTCCCTCCACATCCTGCTATGGCCAAACATACACACACACAGGCACATACGCACACACATGCACACAGAGGGGTGCACGCTACTTTCACTCACTCTCTCCACATGGACACACAGAGACAAACACACTTTCCCTCCTGCCATGAACACAGACATATGCACACACATGCATAGACACATGCATGAACACTCATGCATGCACACACACTAACACGCACGCACACAGACACATGCGCACACACACGCAGACGGGTGCACACTCTACTCACTCACTCTGTACATGGACACACAGACACAAATGCAGTCTCCCTGCTGTGAATAGAAACACACGCATGCACACACCAGACACAGATGCACATACAGAACCATACAGATGCCCTGATGTGTACACGCAGACATACAGATGCACGCACTGAGGTACAGATGCACACACATGCACTCAGGTGAAGACACAGACATGTGCACACATGCACATACACACACACACACACACACCAACCCAGGCACATCCCTTCCCCTCCCAGGACCTCCCACCTCCCCCACTCTTCATCATGCTGAAGCAGCCCCCTTCCCCTCCTCCCTCCCTCCCTCCGCCCCAGCTGCCCATGGCTTTGTCTCACTCCTCCAACCAGTTGCACTGCCTGGGAAGGAGCTGCTGCCCCTTTGTGTCCTTGCAGCCACGCATAGGCACAGGCTGAGCTGCCTAAGGCCAGGAGACCTGCACCCCCTCTCCTGTGTGTGGACATGCTGGGATGAGCGGCTCCCAGGGGGGGGGGGTAAGGTGAATGTTGAGGGCTGTGGCCCTCAGTGCTAAAGCTGCACAGCACAGTGCGGCTCCCGCCCGCTCCCAACACCTTTTAGAAGGCACTTGGTGCCAATTCTAACAGCCATTCTTTTGTAGCAGCAGTTCAGCATGTCTGACTGTCATAGTCAATTTATTTGGGGTATTATTCTGTCTCAGCTTTGCTGAGGTCATTGTTAAGTCTTCAAAAAAGGTGAAAAAATGTGAAACAGATAAGTGCTACCTCTGCCTGAGTTTGAAATAGCTAGCAGAGGAGGTGTGAAGAAAGTAAAGGTATTTAATACTGTAGGGTTTTACTGAAGTGCCCCGCACCACCACTGGCTCCCAGGAACAGGGGCAAGGGGAGCTTGCACCCAGTGGCTGCTGACACCTAGTGCTCCGCACTGCAGCTGTTCTGCATCTGGCCATGTGCAACATTCCCCCTCTTCCCCCACTGCCCCACCTCCCTCCCTGCCTCCTCCCCCTCTCTGCCAGCTGTTGTTAGGGCCAGGCAGTGGCAGCAGAGGGTGGGGCACAGCAGCGGCAGAGGGGTGCTGCCACCAGAAACCCCCCCTTTCCCTTCCTGCTCCCTTCCCTTCCTCCCTCCCTCCCTGCTGCCTGCCCCTCCCTGCCAGCTGTTGGTGGCGGTGGGCGTGGGGGATGCTGCAGCAACTCCCTCACTCCCTCTGTCCATAAGGCTCCAGGCCCTCGCAGCAAATTGGGATGTGCCATCTCGGCAGCACATGCACAGTTGGCCCTGAGCATTATGGACAGACAGACAGACTAAGGCTTTTATTATGTTAGAATACTTACAACCCGGAAAGCAAAAAGGGCCAAATGAGTCAACATAACAGGCATTCCCTTTGACTTTTAATGAATACCTACTCTGCTCTGAATGAATACCCAAGCACAGAGCAGTACTCTAGCAATTTTTTCTCTTGTCCTACAAGAGGCAGTGTTTTGGAGAGTTGATTCTTAGAGTCCAAGTAATATGCTTGAAACGTATGCTTTCATGAATCCTAAAGAAGTGGCTCTGATTGCCAGCAGTATTTATTTGTATTGCAGTAGCACCTGTGAGCACAGAATCATAGAAAATGAGGGTTGGAAGGGACCTCGGGAGAGTCCAACCCCCTGCTCAAAGCAGAACCATCCCCAATGAAATCATTTCAGCAAGGGTTCTGTCGAGCCGGGCCTTCAAATCCTCGAAGGATGGAGATTCCACCACCTCTGTAAGTAACCCATTCCAGTGCCTTACCCTTCTGGTGGGAAAGTTTTTCCTAATATCCAACTTAAACTTCCCTTGCTGCAACTTGAGACCATTGCTCCTTGTTCTGTCATCTGCCAGCACTGAGAACAGTTTAGCTCCATCCTCTTGGGAACCACCCTTCATGTAGTTAAAGGCAGCTGATATA